CCAGCCCAGGGCCCTCCACCAGCAGGAGACCCTTTGACAAGGCCACTGACATCAAAGAAAGAGGAAAATGTCATTAACAGGGAGACCTGCACACGCAGGCACTGCTGCACCAGAAGTTTCTCTTTTAGAGGAACAGTTTCAGGTCTGTGGAACAGAGGGATCAGTTTCTGCAAGCCCTGTTAAATCCGAGCAGCTCAGAGTTTGTCACCCGTCCTAGGGGCCAATGTGTGGAGACTTGCTCCAGTCACTTCTTTTATCCCCTCTCCCAGCAAAAGCCACAAAAAAGCCATTAGAAAAAGTCTTTATCAAGCACAGATAGCAGTTCTCAACATCTCACCCACCACGCAGCAACCAGGCACGAGCTACAACTCTCCAGCAAGCGTCAGTTTTGGATCTTTTTGAGTGTTTTTTGAAATCATCCTGAAGACAGTTTTAGCAACAGTCTTTGTCTTACCTAGCACTTCTCATGGAGGGTGAGAAGGGAGGCAGCTCCTCCTCAGGGGATGGGGGGATGACATCCAGGTAATCGTCCTCTCCGAGCTGGGTGCTGAGCTGCTCCTCACCACTGCCCCCCTGCCTCTCCCCACTCCCGGCCCTGCAAGCCCCTGGAAGAGAAGCAGTGGGCACTGCTGGGCAACACTGCAACCAACTCCCCCTGGCAGGGACAGAAGTGCAGCTCAGCTGGGGCAGGGTTCAAACACTCTCTCAGTACAGTTCCTGACTTCTACAGGAGGAAAACGATAAATTAAAATCTTGCTGTTCCCTTTTTTTCCCCCATTAAAACCAAAGGGGCAAAACGCCCACAAATCCCCAAGTTCTAGAGCTTGCCTGCAAGGCCTTTCTCTGTCAGAAGAGGAAAATTCAGAGGTATATTTTCCTACAAGAGGCTTTACAGAAAACTATTCTAATAAATTCTTCAGAAGTGCCAAGGCCTCAACTAGCACAGTCCCTATCCTGGAATCAGGAGGTAAATTCATTTAAGACAAATCCTATGAAGAAAGGCCAATGTCATTAATACATTAAAACTCACTGCATGGGAAGACTATTCTCAAGAAGCAAAACAATGCTCACAAATCCTTTTGCCATTTATTGTAAGGGCAGCAGCCCAGGACACTGCTCAATATTATTCAGCTGCATCATCAAATTAATTTCACCAACAAAGATGAAAGGTTTCAAAACCTAACAGGTAAGGCCTATAAAGGAGAGCACAGAGAGTTACCAGGGGAGCACTCTCAGACTGTCTTGAACTTTTTGGTGACAACTGAGTGTTGAAAGCTGTGATCTGTTCTGTTTTATTTTAAATTGAAAGAGATCTCTTTTTCTGCTTTGATCTTTCTCATCGTTCCTTTTAGGCACAAGATTTTTTATGCCTTTTTCATAAAATTTAAAAGTGCTTTTTCTCTTGAGGACTGCCCTCAGACACTGAGATGTGTCTCCCTCTGATCCCCGGAAACCCTTGGTGTGCAAACATGAGGGGATCTTCTTCTAGCTCACCAGTACTTTAAAATAGACAGTTACCTGGGTGAGGCTCTTCCCTGCCATCGTCCGAAACCACCGCAGC